TTCATACAATCTTGGTGGATCTTGGAGGACTCGAACCTCCAACTACCCGGTTATGAGCCGGGGGCTCTAACCATTGAGCTAAAGATCCCTTAGGCAACTATAAAAATATTTTTTAATTTCAATCTCTTTTTCTCACTAAAAAAATTAGAGGAATCATTGGAATTTTAAATGTTAATCCCCCTCCTAAATTTAAAATCAACTTCTTTTTTTATTGTTTTAAGTGATTAATTTTTTGTCCCTATTTTTAAAAATAATTCTTATTTAGAAAAAGGTAATACATTCACAAAGGTTCTTAGTTTCCTTCTCCGTTTAGCCTTAAAAAATTTTACTGTTCCTTCTGCTTGTGCATGAATAGTGTAATCAGTGCCAAAATAAACTCCGTTTCCTAATAAAAACTTACTTCCGTGCTGACGGACAATAATTTCTCCATCTTTCACATATTCGCCACCGAACTTTTTGACTCCTAAGCGTTTAGAAATCGAGTCATGGCTACAATTAGTGGCGGCTGAACCACCTCCTTTTTTTTGAGCAAAAAACTGTAAATCTAACTTGAATCTTGACATAATTATTTTATTTAATTTTCCTTAAAACTACTAATCCTCTTTTTGGACCAGGAACTGCCCCCCGAACAAAAATAACTTGATTTTGAGAGTCTACTTTTTCTATTATGGTTGGCTGAGTAACCTTTTCATGCCCCATTCGGCCAGGCATTTTTTTACCTTTTGGTATTCCTTGGTTAGTACCCCGACCACCACTCGCTGAACCCATATGACGATGCACTGGTCCACCACCATGTGACATACTACCAAGGGCAAAACCATGTCGCTTAATCACTCCGGCGGTTCCTTTACCTTTGGAAACACCAGAAATTTCAACTTTATCTCCTACCTGAAAGAGTGCTAAATCAACTGGGGAACCAACTTCCAATCCCTCCATACCTCTTATTTCTCGCAAGTGTTTTTTCAACGGAATATTATTTTTCTTTAAGTGACCTAGTAAAGGCTTAGTAAGTCTTTTTTCAGAGCAATCACCAAAGGCGATTTGGCATGAATTGTATCCATCTTTTGCTTCAGTTTTCACCTGGGAAACTACATTATTACCAACCATTATTTGAGTAACTGGAATTAACAAGTCTTTTTTGGAAGAAACTATTTGGGTCATTTGCCACTTATTACCTAGTATACCAATCGTTTTCATATATATTATTATAATTTTACTCTTTTTTATATTGTATTGCTTAAAACAAAAAGAGAATTTTTGCGGACTTTGCTTAAATTCCTAAACTAACCAACTAACTTTTTGGAGGTTGAATAACTACTTAATATTTGTTGAACAATGGCCTTTTTCATTTGAGGCGAATAAGTATCGCTGTTTTTTACCAGTTCCATTAAGGTGTCTAGCACTTTAAGAGCATGAGGAGTAATTTGAAATTCATCAAAAATTATTCCTTCGCCGGTACTTCACAAAAGATAAACATTTTTACCAGTGCATAAATATTGAATAAGCAATTGAATTTCAAAAATAAGCAATGCCAAGGGACTTTTATTAGCCTTAATATTACTTGTTTTTAACTCAACAATATAGTCGTTAAATTCCAAATCAACATAAGTGGCCAACAATTCATCTTTGTAAAAAACATGATGAAGTTTTTCACTACCTATAAAATTACCAAGTTTTAAGGGCTTTTTTTTTTTTAAAAAATTAATTGTTTCGTGAACTCGCTTATCTAAGTTACTTAATTTGCTAATTTCTACCAAATCAACAAAGGGAGGATGATTACCATCTTGCATGAATTTTTGGATAATATCATGGAAATTCTTGCCCCGTTCTGCCGCTCTAAGTAGAATGTATTCTGGTATCTCTTTATACTCTATTTCTCGTAAAATTCTCGTGAGAGTACTGGCACTTAATGCTTTTTTCCCACCGTGATAAGGTCATAATCTACCACTTTTTTCAATAATCAAAAACTCAATTTCTTGTCGGGACTTACTAGAAGCAAAAGTATCATCCATTACCTCGGTGGATTCAGTAATTTCTTTATCATTTAGATTTGATTCTTTATTCATAATAAGTTTTTTAAAAAAGTAAGGAAGAAGTAAATATAATAAGTTTTTATGTTTTTAAATAATAACTTAACCAAACTGCCTCTTTTATGATAGGAAATTGAAACCGATTGACCAAAAAATAATTTAATTGTAATTTTAATAATACAAAAATTGCATAAAATATAAATTGATGATAGAATAGAGCAAAAAATTACAAAATAGTACTAAAATAATACATGAAAACAAAAAACTATGACAAATCAACACATAAATTTTACCAAGCATATAATCAACACTATTTGAAAAGAGGAACACATAATGCCATTTTTGGCGGAAAATAATCAAGAGAATTAGGTTTAAAATTTAAAATAAGAGTTAAAAAAACAGTTGCTAATTCTGTTTAAAAAGTTAGCAAATTAAAACATAAATAAATAATAGTTAACAATAATTTATAAGAATATGCCAATAAAAAATCAATATTTAATAGAAAATAAGAAACCAGTAGAATTGGTTCAAGAAATAGAAAAGTACGAAATCAAAAAATCTCCTTTATCTTCTGCTGCTCGAGGTAAGGTGATAAATAAAAGTGGCAGTGATTATGTAAGTGAGAATAAAAGTGATTACGGATCGGGAAATAACTCGTCATCGGAAGCAGCGACAAAGCATGTAGGTAAAAAAGTTGTAAGTAAAACGGCTGGTTCGCTTCTTGGTTCTGCTGCCTTACCGATAGGGGCAGGTCTTAAAGTTGCAAGCGAAGGATGAGATGAATCTTGAAAAATGACTGTGGAGATGCTTAGTCATAATCCTTGAGAAGTCTAAAGCAACTAGTAAAGAAAAAAGCGAGTTTGTAAAATGAATGGGCGAATTAGGTGTAGATTTGATGAAAGATGGAGTAGGGAATATAATAGGAGAAATTGCTTCTCATTCAAGTGGTGGAGTAAGTAATTTTTTTGATTCTACTAGTGAATATTATGGGCAATTAGGTGATGCCGAAGACACAGTGTCCCATCTTAAACTAATCACTCACCTTGCACATCTTAATAAGGGAATAAATTATGATCCTGATTGTAAAGAGTGTAAATCCTAAAAATTAAAAAGTCAAAAACTTTAAGCATTTATGAAAAAAAGGAAAGTTGGGGGGGTTTTGTTGAGAGGTCTGCTCGGACTTATTCTTTTCTCCCTCATGCTTTTCTCGATCTGATTAAAACTTGGTTCAGAGATTATTTTGTTAGTGCTAAAAGAGGCGAGTAAAGGAAGACGAGCAGGAGGAATTTCGCTAACGATGAATTTTCTTATTTTGCTTACTATATTAGGAGTTCTTTTTTCAGCAAGGTTTTTTCCTTCCCTTGATTATCTCAAGTTTAAGCCTAGAAAGTTCCTTACCAGTTTTTTAATTTTTCTTTTTGTTTTATTTTGTTTTTTTCTAGGATTTTTAATGATATTTAACTTTTCTCATTACTACTATGCAACAAAATAAAAGAAAGAGTCACAAAAGTAATTATGAGTTGTCGAGTTTTTTAATTTTTCCCTTTACTCATAAACTATTAAAAGTCTTTTCGGAAACTTCTGTTCGATACAAGAGATTGGAAAAAAGGTGAGGGAAGCATCAAACCAAGGAAATTAGTCGGAACTTTGATAAGTGGTTTTTTATTTGTGCTTTTTCTTTCATTTCTGTGGTAGTAAGCCATGTAAAAATTATTTTCTAGTTATGAATAAAATTTTTGTGTAAAAATATATTATCACCATTTTTTTAAGCCAATTAAAGGTGTTTTAAAAATTAAACGACTGAATTATTGAACAGAAAAACCTAAAAATAGTTAGTAATTTACCTTTATAAACGAGAAAAACCTAAAAATATTAAATATAAAGAGTATTAGCTCAGTTGGGAGAGCATCTGCCTTACAAGCAGAGGGTCGCTGGTTCGAGCCCAGCATACTCTACCAAATATATATAATGTGAAAAACAGTTGCTAGATTTATTAGCGAACCCGTTTACCATGAAGTCCAATTCATGAAATTCTACAAAGCTACTTTGGAAAACAAAGATGGGAATTTTGCTTGCTCTTTTGGAGAAAAGCATTTACAGAATTATTCTCGCGAAAAGAAAGTTTGTTTTTTGAAATGTAAAAAAACCAGTTTTGGGTTCTCTTGTCAAGCGATAGAGTTTTTAACTAATAGTGAGGAGATTACTTCATGAGTAGAAACCATCGGCAAAGAAAGTAAAGAAAAAGCAATTCAAAACAAGGAATTATTAAAAAAAGAATTAACTGAAAAAGCCAAAATAATTATTAGTTTATTAGCAAAGGAAAATGGGAATAATTGAACTTTCCGCATTGATGCTCAACCCCTTTCTATTTATTTAGAAAACCTAGAAAATCCTCGTTTAAGGTTTTTAGTCAGTAATTTCGCTAAAAATCAAGTAATTTTGGATAATAACCTTGCTCTTAACCATTTAAAAAACATTTATGTTGACCTAACTAAAATTGACCTATATTATTTATTGAAAGATATCCAAGAAAGAATTAAAATTCTTGAAAAATTAATTTATTAACTGGCTGATTTAGCTCAACTGGTAGAGCAACCGCCTTGTAAGCGGTAGGTTGTGGGTTCAACTCCTACAATCAGCACCATTTTAAAAAAATACATTAAACCAACAAGAGGAATGAGATAGAATGAATTTGTAAAATATGGGAGGATAGTTCAATTTGGCAGAGCAGTTGACTGTAAATCAATTAGTTGGGGGTTCGAGTCCCTCTTCTCCCACCATTATAAAATTAAGTAATAAGTAAATAAGATAAAATATTAGTCAAAGATATGCGAATAAAAAAATGAGAAAAATGGTATTGAGGAATAGTTTTTGCCATAATAACTGGTTTGTTAATTTGAATTATTTTGCGAGAAAAAGGATTTGTATTTACAGACAAAAAAACTGGTGAACCAAAAGAATTAAGTAAATTACATTCGGCTTTGATAGTTCTTGTCAGTATAGTTCCACTCACTTTCGCTTGGGCAATGCTTAGATTTTACATCTTAAAAACTAATGACTTTATTTGTAAATATTGCCGTAAAGAATATGGAGGGAGTTTTGAGACTAAAAAAAATGTTTGCCGAGAATGTTATGAAAAAAAACAATAATTAAGGAACATTGATAATGATAACAATTAAAACTTGAAAAATTCTAAATAAAAAACAGGCGGAACTCGACCAATTAATTGTTGAAAAAAGTCCTACTAATTTAAAATGAGTTTCCCATTTCAATGTTGAAAGGTTAAAATTGGCTCTGTTGGTAGAGGTGGGTGAATTCGCTAACGAAATAAAATCCTTTAAGGCTTGACGAAAAAAACCGGAAATTGATTGACCAAAAGCCAAAGTAGAATTAGTTGATTGTTTAGGTTATTTTTTAGGTTTAGTTGGTATTTATCAAATTGATATATCTAAAATCGAAATTGGTACAAAAGTAGTGGACAAACCACAGGATTTACCATTTAACGAATTACTGCTAGATTTTTTTGCTAAAACTAATGATTTACATGTAGAAAGGGATGAACGACTTTATAATTCAGGGAAGAACGAAATTATCAAGGACAAAACAAAAAATACTTACCATGAATGATGACTAACCTTTGAAAAAATATGCTGAAAGTTAAAAATTGATGAAAATGAATTATTAGACATTTATCTTGAAAAAAACGACACTAACCTAAAAAGGGTTAATGCTAAATAATTTTTGGGGTGTAGCCAAGTGGTAAGGCAAAGGACTTTGACTCCTTGATCGTTGGTTCAATCCCAGCCACCCCAGCCAAAAGGAAATGGATACGAATAAAAAATTAAATTGGAATTAGAAACCTTAAAATAAGTCCTGTTAACTCAGCGGTAGAGTGTCTCCCTTTTAAGGAGAAAGTCGAAGGTTCGATCCCTTCACAGGACACCAGATAATTATTTAAACTAAAGTTATAAAAATATAAGGTAACTTAAAGAGTAGTAAAAAAATATAGGATTGTTATATTGATGCTTTTTTGGGTTTTAAAATAATGAACTTAATTTAAAGGTTTAAAAAATTTGCGGGGATGGCCAAACTGGCAAAGGCGTCAGATTTAGGATCTGAAGACTGGGGGTTCGAGTCCCCCTTCCCGTACCAATTATTATTCAAAAACTATCCAAAATGTTAAGAAAGATAATTCCTTGGTATCTTTTTTTTACTATTTTTTTTATTCTCTTATCTTTTGGTTTTAATTTCGATAGGGTAAAGGATCAAAAACTTATCCATTTTTACATTTTTATTTGCAAATGGCAATACCTGACTAAATTTATATGGCCAAAATACCCTGCTACCCCTAAATTCTTCTTCATCTTCATCCAAAACTCGGACATGATATGGGTCATGGATTATTAAAATAAGGCAAATTAAAAAAATATTGATATAAAATTAAATTATTCTAAGAAATTAACTTTAAAAATATTTGTATATGTCTTGAATTTGAATTTTTATTATTTTAACTATAGCCATATTTTGTGTGGTTATTGTTTCTTTTTTTTCTTACTACTCTTCGAAATGATTAGTCAAGTGATTAAAAAATGTCAAAAGAATCGATGACCGAAAAGACTTGAGTCCCAAATTGAAAGAAATAGTGCGAATGGTGCGAGAAGTTTCTTGCATTTATAAAATGAAGATGCCGGAAGTGGGAGTTTATCCTTCCCAAGAAATTAATGCTTTCGCTACTGGTCCGGCCGGTAACACCTTAATTGCGTTTTCTACCAATTTAATTAATACGATGAACCCCCAAGAAATTAGAGGGGTAGTTGGTCATGAATTATCTCATCTTATTCATTATGATATCGCACGGATTTTGTTAATGCAAGGAATATTTGATATTCTTCATTTAATGCTTAGTGTTTTAATTGCTTCATGGTTATTTCAGCCCAGCGAAGAAGAAAGAAGAACCGGAGAACTTAATTTAATTAAGATTTTTTTTAAGATGATATTATTTCAGATAATTACGGCTATTTTACGCTTAATTGGTATTTTATTTATCTTTTGATATACTCGCAAGCGGGAATTAGCCGCCGATAAGAGGGGGGCAGAAATAGTCGGGATAGATGATATGCTGGCGGCTTTACGAAAACTTTTGGAATTAGAAAATAAGGCTTGAGTAGTAGATGGAATAGATTTAACCGAGGATGAAAATACTAAAACCACTGGAGAACCTAATTCGGTTGCTTTATTAAAATTCAACCCTGAAAAGAAAAAAAGGAGTTTACTTGATTTATTTCGCACTCATCCTACTTTGGAACAGAGAATTGAACGACTAGAAAAATTAAAAAGACAACGAACCTTATCCGGTATCATTTAAGCGGATATATCAAGAACCACAGCAACCCCCAATCCCACCAAAATAAAAAAAGAGAGTAAAAACTCTCCTATTTAATAAGAAGCATTTAGTGCGATTAGAAAAAAGGTAAAGAAATAGAAAAGAAATTAATTTATATTTCCTTTTAAAAAGGTTAAATTACTAAAAACATTCATTATATGGTGAAAAAAAACAATAAATTATCATCACATTATCCTCAGGTTTTCTTTTCCAAGTTGATATTTAAAACTATTTCTTGAATAATATTCGCTGTTTCATTTATTAGCCTGGGTAAAAAGTACCTCAAAACAGATATTGTAGGAAAGATTTGAGGATCTATTTTTAGTGAAAAAAAAAGTTTCGAGCAATACTTTTTAGGTTCTAGCAAGTTAGTAGAAAAGAACAAAATCTTGAATTATGCTATTTTTTTCTTGAGTGTAATAGTGGTTTTGAATATTATTGCTCTCTTGCTTAATTGATACTTGTGAAACGAAGATAAGTATATCGAAAATAATAAATTTTATTTGCATAATAAGTGAGTATTTATTATTAACAGCCTAATTCATATCGCCAGTGCTTGTTTGTTAACTTTGTCTTTTGTCAGTCCTCTTACAGTAATTTTGGCTTTGCTATTTATCACCTTTAACAGTTGAGAATTTTTTCCTCGCCAAAGAAAGTTAAGTAATCCCCAAACCGAAAGTTTTTTTTCTTGGAAAAATCAATATGTTCGTAAGATAATTGTTTGCTCAGCTATTGTTATTTTTATTGTTCCATTAATTATTGGCCGTTTTCAAACCTTTCATAATAATGCTATCGAAGGTTCACCAGAAGGCTTTGCGAAGGTCTATCAAGAAATGATTAACAGTTCGAGTGCCATAAAATCCTTTATGGAATTAATAACTAAGGCTAATTATAGTCTTTTTCACTGGTTCATTCTAGCATGATTTGTTAAGAATATAATTAATGAAAGACCAAACGAATTTACTGATTTCTGGAATAAAGTAAATGGCATTGAGACGCGAGTAGACAACTTTAGGTGTTACTATCATTACCAAGAAAGTTGAGCGCTGGCTAATAATAAATCTATTAACTTAGGAGATTACAAATATTTAGAAAATAGTCCTAAATTTCTGAGAAAAGATTACTTAGTGGATGACTTAGATACCAACAATTTTGCCCAAAGGAACCAAAAAGTTGTTAATTATATTAAGTTTTGTGAGGACAAAATAAAGAAACCGGCTGAGAAGAATTTCCTTAATTGATGCCTTTTTAATGAATTTGGTTCCTGAGAGCATTGTTTAAAAACCAAGAAACTAATCAAGGCAGCGAGGAAGTAATGATATTTCTCGTTCATCTCTTATTTTTCCTACCAAAGCCCCTAGCACATCTTGGAGAGTGACAATTCCTAACAGGGTTTTTTTTTCTTTAATAATCGCTAGGCGACAATTGCTATTTAGTAATTCAGTTAAAACTTTGTCTAGTTTGTCAGAGGAAGAAAATTGGATAATTTTTTTGTCAATATAATCTTGTCAGCGAGCCTCTTTTTTTTTGGTTATCAATCGTCAGTAAAATACTTCCATATTAAATATTCCTACTACTTCTTTTTTTTGGTTCAGAACTGGGTAGCGAGTATAAAATTGTTGGGAATGAATAGTTTTTATTTCGGGATAAGTCATATCACGTTTGAGAGTAATAACTTTTTTTCAAGGAGTAATTATGGAAACCACTTTTAATTCGTCAAAATTGAAAGCGGACTGAATAAGTTTAGCCTCTTTTTTTTCTAAAATATTGTCGGTAGTTAAATTGTTAATAAAACGAATGAGGTCTTTTTCGGAGTTAACAAATATTTTTTTTCTGGGCTTAACTATTGATCGCAAAAAGTAATAAGGAATTCGAATCAACGAGTAAGTAACGCTAATAAAAAAGTTATTAAAAATTTTTTTATGGCTACTTGGCCGGTTAGCTAAATAGCGAGCAAATATTTCAGTAAAGAGAGCAATTAAAATACCCAACAAAATTATAGTGGCTCATTTATAACTTTCTCATCCCCATTTTTCTAGAATAGGTTGACTTATACCACTTACAAATATTTCTGACAAAAAAATATTAAGGAACACTTGACAAACACAAACTACCGCAAAGAGCAAGTTACCATTTTTAAGGATAAAAAGCAACTTTTTAGTTTGCTGCTTGTTTTTTCTTTTTTTAGCTAAATCTATTTTGAAAAGATTGACCTCTGAATAGAGGGCGGAAAGGTAATTCAAAAAGAAAGAGAAACTAAACAGCGAAAGAAAGAGAAGCAGAGGAAAAAAAGATAAAAGTTCACTAATTGGCATTTTTGGTAATAAATTTTTGTAATATTTTTTCTAAATTATTGATAGTTTCTTGTTCTTCATCAAGCCGGAAAGTTAATTTAGGAAGATAAGCAAATTTTTTGCTTTTAGCCATTTCTTTTTTTACCAAAGGGGAATATTTTTGGTTAATTAAGTTAAGAATTTCTTTTCTGTTCTCTGCTTGTGTAAAAGTCAAATAAACCTTTACATTCTCCCCGCGGGTACTCAATTCACAACAACTTAGTGAAAAAGAAGGTAAATGGTGTTCCCGAATTATTTTATGCAAAATACTACTTATCTCCCGCTCGTAGAAACTTTGTTTTCTTTGTTGAATAAAACTATTTTTCTTGAATAACATTTCGCTTGATTAGATGAAAGGCAACTATTTTATCTTTTTCTTGAAAATTGTCAAATCCTTTGAGAACAATTCCACATTCTTGACCAGCACTGACTTCTTTTTTTTCTACATTATTGCTTTCTAGACTTTTAATTTCCCCACTAAAAATTTTTTTTTCTTCTTTTCCTTGGAGCACATGAATTCGGTTATTACGGTTAATTTTACCATTGGTTACTTGACAGCCAGCAATGTTGCCTTTGGAAAAATAAAAAACTTTCTTTACGATTGCGGTTCCGACTATTTCCTCTACTTCTTCTACCTCTTGTTGGCTGTCGATAATTTTGTCTAATTGGTCACCGATTTCATATATAATTTTACTACTAAAAAAAGAAATTTTATCTTCCTTTCAAGATTTGATTTGTCTTGGGGAGGGTTGGTAGCCAAAGATTAACACCGTGCTTTTCGTAATTTTGACTAAATTAAGAACAAAAGTGCTTAAATTTCCCACGGTGGCATGAATAATGGAAAAGTTTAAATTAGAAGTGGCCTTTTTTTTGATGAGTTCTAGCAGGGCTTCCAGACTGTTTTGACTATCCGCCGTTAAAACTAAATTAATGTCTTTTTTCTCGCGGGAAGAAAGCGAAGTTATTTTTTTATTTTTGCTCCAGTGGTTGGCTAATGCCTTCTCTATTGAGGTAGCCACTTCTTCATTGTTGATCACTAAAAATCGATCTCCTATTTCGGCCGAAGTATCTAGACCGATCACTCGAACTAGGTCACTCGGATGGGCAGTGGTGGTTTTCTGACCTTGAAGGTCGAACATCATTTTAACTTTTCCAAATCTTCCGTTGAGAAAAATAGTGTCTTTTTCTTTCAATTCTCCATCCTGAATTAATAACTCACTGGTTAGCGAGCCGGTTTGGGAGTGTAAATAACTATCAATCACTACTCCATGGGTAGTATCAGAGTGATTGATTTTAAAATCGATTGAAAAGAGTAAAATAATTTCCAACAGGTTTTGGATACTGGTTTTTTCTCGAGCGCTGCCCGAGATTGATTCGAGGGGAGTCAATCCTAGTTGTTGATATTGGCCTCTAATTCGGTTTAAATTATTTTCATTGTTAGTTTCAACTGACTTTTTATGGTTAATAAAAACAATAACGGGTAATTCATATTGACAAAGGTAACTAATAATTTCCTTAGTCTGTTCCATTACTCCACTCTTAGCATCAATTACTAACACTACTAAATCAGTTAAGGAAATTCCTTGTTGTCGCATTTTAATGAAGTCACTATGTCCAGGAGTGTCTAAAAAAGTAATTTTTTGGTTCTGAAATTCGATTTGAGAAACTGTAACTTTTTGGGTTATTCCCCCCTCCTCCTTTTTTTGAACCTGAGTTTGGCGAATAGTATCTAACAAAGTAGTTTTACCATGGTCGACATGACCCATAATGGTGACAATTGGCGGACGGGACATCAGTAGTTCTTTGGAGTGACACTTTTTTAAATATTCTTGAGCAATTTGGCTAAAGTTTATTCCACTTTTTTTTTTTATCTCTATTTTGGTGCTTCGACAATAATCAGTCAGTAAATCTCAGGATAATGGCTGGTTGTGGTTGATATTTTGTCCTTTGGCTCAAAAAAAAGCAATAATCTCACCAACTGGTTTGCGAATAATCTCCCCCAACTCCACCGCCGTTATGTCCTCAACTAAATAAAGAGTGTTGTTTTTTAATTCATTAGTGGTTTTCAAAGTATTCTGATGAATTATTTCTAACAACCAATTACTACTCTCGTTTTTTTGATTTTTGAAAGAATTTTTGATATTTGCCAAAATTATTTTAGGAATATATATAATTATGATTTTATTTTAATTTTTATTTAATTAGGTATTGAGTTTCATCTTTGCACTATGGTTTTATCATCTTATAATCTGGGTGGAATTTTGATAAATTTTTATCTTTTTTAATGTTAGACCTTTATTTTTCAATTTCCTCTACTATTTGTACATCGATATTTTTATAATTACCAACTTCTTGAAATACTTGACCCCTGTTTGCTAAAAACTCATCTTTTTCATCTTCTTTCAAAACTCTAATGTTAATATTTATCCCTAGGTAATCACTAATCTTATTTAACATTTTATTTAGCATTTTTTCCTCGTGTGGTTTTTGGTAATAAGGAACCACAATTTCTCATTCTTTTTCTTGCTTGATCATTAATTTAATTAGTTTAACTGGCGAAAGTAATTTAACGAGCAGTTTTTTTTTATCTTCGGTTCAATCTACAAAGTATATTTGCTCAGCATAAATTAAGCGGGAAATGGCTTTAGCTCTTTCACCTCTTTCACCAATGCAGGTTCCGGCAGGGTCAATATTCAATCTTTTTTCAATTGCCATTTTACCCTTCTCAACTAATACTTTACTTACTATTCCCGGCAAGCGCAAAATATCATGAATGGTAATAATTCTACTTTTTATTTGAGGAATTTCTTGCTCCAGTAACTTGTGTATAAATAAATCATTGGAGCGGGTTAAAATGATTTGAGGAGCATCCTTGGTAGGTTCTTCTCTGACTTCCTTGATAAGGAGATAGAAACGTTGACCTAACCGTGGTTCCTCTCGTAAGGTTCATTCTGATTTTTCCCAATAGCCAGTAGTTCCTTTTCCTAAGTCAACCGAATAATATTTTTCCCCTTGGGTGCCTTTGATACTACCTTTGATCATTTCGCCTTGTTGCGGCTTATATAATTCATACTGTCTAGTTCAACTAATTTCTTCGACATCTTTCCGTAAACGACTTTTTATTTCTTGGTTAAGAGAAAAGGAAAATTTTTTGATGTCAATAGGAAGAAGTAAATTATTATCCCTTATTTGTCCCTCTTTTAGCAACTTATTTTCTTTGGTTATTTCTTTTTCAGGTTCGTTAACGGTTTCGACTATTTTATAGAGACGATAAGCTGATAGTCCAGAGTCAAATTCGAAATGTAATTCAGCACCAGCGTTTTCCCCTTGGCAATAAGAAGTTCGGAAAGAGCTAATGATTATTTCCTTAATTTTTTCTTCCGAGATACCTTCCCGTTCGGCTAATTGTTTAATGAATTGTTGAGTATTATTTTCGTTCAAAATTTAAAATGTATTAATAAATATATAGAATAATTTTATAGAGAAATGGAAATTGGACACTACCTTAGCATGATAAAAGACTGATTTAAGGAGGGGTGGAAATTTTTATTTGAGGACACTCAAAAGATTAAGGCTCACCATTTATTTGCTTTTTTGTTAACTATCATTGTTATCTGGCTTCTTTCTTATGTGGTGGAAAAGATTTTCAAAACTATGGTAAAGTTACTTATAATGATAGCACTGATTTGGTTGGTATACATGTTCTTATTTGATAGAAGCAAATATAATGAATTATTTAGAAAAAAAGGGAGCAGCGAAAGCAGTAATAGTGATAAATAGGATTAAATAATATTTCTTTAATTTTCCTTACCATGATTATTTCTTAATTAAAGGTTGAAAATGTCCACCACTGTTATAAATAACTCACGACTCATTATATTCAGGAATAAATTTTACTCCTCCGTTTTTCAATGTATCTTTATCATTCAATATCTCCTCGGTACTTTTGGCAGAAAATTTAACCGGCTGACCATTCTCGATAACATTATTAGGTAATGCGCTAACTATAACGATATTTCTCTTTAAAATAGGTGCCATGTGAATAATATGAAAATTCTCTAGTCATACACCGTTTATAGCAAATCCCTCGCTGATTAATTTTTTTTTCAATAAGGCAAGTTTTTCGGCTTCATTTCCTACCGCAAAGGTATCAGGGTTAGTCATAAATTCTAAACAAAGTTTGACTCGGAGAGGCAAAGCCCAAGTAGTATCATTTTCCTTACCGGTCAAGAAAACCGAAAAAGAGTTTAAGAAACAATTTCCATCTCCGACCGCTGATAATTGAACATAATTTTTGTATTTAGAAGCAGGGTTGGAACCATCAATTGTGTCTAATTCAGGAATTTTACCACGGCCAGATAGTTTTTTTAAGTCCTCCATGCTTGCTCCTTTTAAATCTAAACCTGCCAAAGGGTCAGGGTAATTTTGAAAATTAACTCATGCTTTTATGTCTTTTAAACTGGTCGGGTTAGTATCTAGATAAGTCTTAATATCTCATAAAATCTTTTCTCACTTGTTAGTAGGAGGAGTTGGAGGAGTTGGAGTTTGAGGAGTTGGAGTTTGAGGAGTTGGAGTTTGAGGAGTTGGAGTTTGAGGAGTTGGAGTTTGA